ATACAAGTACTTTTTAAGTCATACGATTCAGTCCAGGTGTTTGCTATTGCAAGGATCATGATTTTGAATCTTTATTAATTCTCACAAGAATATGCCTTTTAATTGTGTGATTTAACGACTTTTACTGTACAATGTTTCTTTAAAAAAGAAATTTGAAATCAAAACTCGGGTGGTCAAGAGGAAAAAAGAAGCGAGGGGGGGACCTGGACTTAAAGGACCCGAGAACATAAAATGGTAAACGACCCTTTGCACGCGGGAGACATAACAGCAGGCAAGCCGATTTATATGCGCTCCTTAGCTCGCGCGTGCACGCACTTTACGATATGTAAAACCACTAGGGCTGGCATTGTGCGACGTCAGTGCTCCGTCGTAAAACCGGCCGTTCGAATCGCCTCAACTTTGAAAGACTTTCAAATAATATTACAACTTTTGCATCACGCATAGCCGTTCACTCTCAACGCGCATAAGGGGGTTGTGTGTGCCGTTCAGGATGCTGATTCCTTCTTGTTTTACTTCTCCCTGCTACTTCACTCGATCCGTTGCACCTTGACGCTTTTTTATGTACGCTCTTCTTCGATCTAGAAATTATTTTGCACGTAACGTTAAGTATAAGCAACATCATTCCGGCCTATTGTATTGAAGAAAATTAAGAATTTATTTTTAAATGTATCTATACGATTATTATTTTTGTGCCAATAAATGTGTCATCTCTTGATTCTTTTTTTAAACATTTTTTTGAATGTAACAGACTTTTTTATATTTAGAACTTATAATTTTAATACACGATAAATATCCAAAATATCCTTTTGATTTATAAGCAGTACTTCGATATTAAGCGGAAAAGTATTTTAATTTTCTGTTTATTAAATAATATGAAAATCATTCCCATGTTAAACTATTTTAATTTAAAATCATAGGCTATTTTGAAAAATTTATGTGGGAATATTTGCGCATTTCCCTTCAGGATCTATAATTTGTTACTAATTAATCCTGGCTGCTCTAGATAGCAATCAATGTGAATTAAACTAGCGGACGGAACGGTATACAACTCGCGAGGTTTATATGTTTATTTTAGTACCTATTATTTAGACGGTTTATTCTTTTCATTAATAATAGCATTTTAACAAATTACGCGTGTAGTTGTGCGGATATGCGTAAGCTTGCTGTACGCAACGGATGGCTTCTGGAAGGATAATAACATCGCCATCGGGAAAACCGGTAATCTCAATGCGGGAAGAATGCGTGTGCTCTGTAAGCTGTTTGCTGATATATGCATAGTTTGTCGCGGCTAAATTGCAGAGATCAAATTAAAGAATAAAAAAGAAAGACCTTTAAAATGACATACTACTGGAAGATATTACGTTGTAACGGCAGATAAACGGTCGATGTACAGAAATCGTTCATCTGCGCTTGCAAAAGCAGTGTCAATCGTGAAAATTTTCAATCAATTTGTTTGCTCTAAATTGAGGATACGAAAAAAATGAAAGGAGAAAATAAAAATATCACTAAGATATTTAAGTAATAATTCTAAATTTTATTTTATGTTACACACATTTTACACGACTATTCTCACGTTGTACTTACTATTGGATTTATGCATAACACTTTCATTTGAACAGCTATCAGTTGATCTACATTTTTGTGCACAAAGCGAAGCCCCGATCTTAATATTCAACGATGCCGATAAGCAGTAAAAAATTAAAAGTAAATTGCGCTTTCATGAGTTTTCCGAGCTTTATATTTGGCATCACACACTTCATCCCGCGACGGATGTAGGTGACGTCACGAAATTCTAAGGCGACCGGAAGTTATGGCGATTAAGTAAGCCAGCGAACACGCAGCTGCGAATCCTATTTCTGAGCACGTTTGATCCGATAATACTCTGTTACCTGTAATATCTATCGCGACGTTGAAGTTATTCCCTTATACGTAGTGTTTAACGTTGTTTTCTGTTTATATCCCTTCTTCGAATTATCCTTTTACTTCCATCATTACATAGCAAGTTTGAATTTAATAATTGATAGAGTTTTACGAATCCTTTTTTCTGATACTTCTGTAGAAAGTGGTGTTATAAACTGCGTAAGACCATTTCTCAAACGCGATTTCGTTGTTCACGTATCGGTGTTTACATGTGAGAATGTAGCGTTAAAAAATCGCGCGATTGCGGACACCTTTCGTGGCGAAAGGATCGGGTGAAACGAGCGTATACGCAAGGCTATGGTTGTTGGATGTAATTTACGAGGCAAGCGATATTTTTACGGCTGGCTTACGAGTACTCTCTATGCTGCTTGGATTCATCTTCCAGATTGCATCTGGAATAAATCATTCCTATATCGAGTAGCGGTCGTGTCCGAAAGGTCACCAACTTGCTTGCGTCTTCTCCGATCTCACAACTCCCATGTAATACCAAACAACGCGTTAATATCTTTAATTGATAATGTGTTGAACAATTATTTCCGCGAGAAAACTCTCGTAATTAAATCTATTACGAATGCAATTTTATATAACTATACTCGATTGAGCGTATTGAATAAAATTCTATTCCACACGTATTTGCCAGCTTATTCATAGAAATTTTAAGCTTTCTCTGCTGATAGCTTAATATGATCGTTCTATTTCTCTCTTATCTATACCTTTATTGCAAAAATATTTACCACTCAGTGTTTGTGATTGTAGTTTGGCAGGAAGAATGTTTGTACTTCGCAGTGTGAGAGAGCAAAGACAGTCAAATTCACATTGCTTTTTAATAGACATCCTTTTTTTACTGTTAACTATAAGATTTAGCGTCCAGCGTCTTTTATTCTCTGTCTCCATAATAAATGTACCTTTTATAATGTATATCATCCGATATCGAGTTATCATTCTTGCACGCGTGTTGATAACTGCACCGACGATAACTGCGCGGACAAGTGCTTGGAAAGTTTCTCTCTTACGGCCGACGCGACGCAGTCCTCCTTGACGGGAGTGAAGGTACATAGAGAACGGAGACCCATAATAAATCTTGAGAATACGCTTTCTGCGCGAATGCAAGTCGCAGTTTGTTGATAACCGCACCGCTTGCCCGGGGTACGCGGCATAAATATTAGAGTGGCCGATAATGTTTCGGACGTGCATTCGGTGCAAAACACGAAGACGTTACCGCTATGAAAATTGTTGCTCGAAGCGTGACCGTCTATATAATCATCGATAGATCTAAATCTGAACTGGACAGAATAAAAAGTTTACATCTATCTGTATTGGTGTGTATATACATACATTTTAATATTCTTCCTTTTTATCAAACACGAAAAAGAAAGCAAAGATCGCCAGGGCCTTATATTTCATTGTCTTATTTTATTTTCGATTCCGGAAATATTAAATACTGCTCGTTGTATCTTTTTTATACAAATATGAAAGTTGCAAAAGTTGCACATATGGATTCATACAAAAACGATGACAAATCTCGCAAGCACATGTCGCTATTATATTTATATCAGATGTGTTAACAAACGAGGTACGCAATTGAAATTTTGCAAAGTGATTTCTTAGTTCGAGGTTTACGATGGTGTAAATTTTAACTGCGATTATTCGTTGCAAGCGCAGTAATAATAGAGGGAATCATTGATGTGTCATAAAATTCGTGCATCAAACCTTTCTTGGAGAAGAGCTGAACGTAAGTTGAAATAAGTATGCAGATGCAGCCTCTAAAATTACGACACATGTGATAGATGCGTTATAAATCGGCCCGCATCAAGGATCGGCGAGGGTACATCCCCGCAATCAAGCAACGTCGCTCGTAACATGTTGAACCGGCAATTATTGGCTCTAAGTGAGAGTACTGTTCGCGAATTGAAACTGTCGCATAATCTTCAGCGTATAATAAATTCTGCAATCTCGCACATAATTCACCGGGGTAATTTCCAAGTGCCCTCGTAATCAGTATGCACGCTGGACAAGATCTTGCCACAATTAAGTAACTTGACGTGTAATTTGCGTCTAAGTCATACAAAATTTATGTCTCAAATTAAAGAATAAAAATGCATCGTACTGTAGATTGACGATTTTTCTTTTCGAGCGATAAATGTTAATCTTTGTATCTTTTTCTTTAGGTCTTGACTTTTGTATAGTAAGTTGATTTCATAATATTAAACGTCGTTATGTTAGTCTTGAGATAACTCAATTAGTACCAATTGCAATATCGATAAATATATGAATTACTTTTCAAATTCGCGCCTTTCAAATATGTGAAGCAAAAATTTTTAGGATAAAATGTTGTACATGATACCATTTCGATGGCTATAAATCGATCCAGTTCAGTGGGTGCTAGAGGCGTATCCCAGCAATCAGAGGGGCAACTAATTTAGGTCGCTTAACTCTATGCCATGAAAGAAGCTCGAGAAAAAAAAGGAAGAGAGCTCGACAGTGAGTGGTATTCATTATTTCCAGCGAAAGTGGTAACAATTAAAATTATATTCCACCAATTAAGCAATGAAAGCACAAAAGGCAACTGTCTAGCGAAGCCATGTCCATGTGATAGGTCGTTTTGCGCTCTTGGTAACTGGGGAGGCGCGTTGTGAGAAATATGTTTTGACAAATCGATCATTTTAGGGGAAATAAATTCTATCAAGTGTATACATTTGATGAGTGTTGTATAATTGGATTCCAAAATCTCCAAAGGTACTTGAACAGTTTTTTCTGATGAAAGTTGCTGGACACTTTTTTCAGTGTAAAAAAAGCTAGTGTCATGGAAAATAAAGAAATAAATACCCGGGGATGAAATAAGTCATTATTAACATAAGTCAAAAATAAAACATAATGAATGAATAAATAAATAAATAATTAAATAACAACGATAATAATCGAAAATATAAATATGATCATAACGTAGAAATAAGTAAAAAATATTTTGTTTTGAAATTAAATTAGAGTCAATTGTGTGTGTCAAATATGAAAGTTTTCCAATAGAAGCAATCCAAGCAATAGCAGCGGTAAATAAAGTTATTCTTTTTTTTCTTTTCCAGTCATTTATGGATGTCCAATGATATACCACCCGGAGACATACTGTTATTTCTCGCCACCGCCGGTCATGGCGAAGGTCGGATCTCCAGACGAGGGACAACCTGTTGACATAAAATTCTCACAGTATCCATTCCCAAATTTACCAATTTTGCCCCCTACTTGTCCCCCACCAACATTAGCGTCTCCGTTTCCTGAAAACTCATTTAAACCTCCTACTGAACCGCTTATTAAATCTTCTACTGAACCTTCTACTGAATCTACTGAACCTTCTACCGATCCTTCTACTTACCCTTCAACCGAATCTTCTAAATACTATTGGTAAGTCTACTTCGTTATCTTATTTTTTTTTCGTAACTTCGGTAAAAATTCATTATAAAGTCATAATGAACTATGCCGATTTAATTACCGTATCGAATATTTAGATACGCAAAAATTGTATATCTTACAATCCCATTTATTTACTATGGCATGCAAAACGGGTGTAAAATGATATAAAGTAAGGAAAAGGATTAGTTTTCGGTTTAGAATATAAATTGCGGTCTCCATATTATTCCCGGGTGCTCTTCTTTTGTTTGGATCGTCGAGAGTCCGGGTCGTAATCGCAAATCCGGTGCACATAAAACAGATTCTAAGCTATAAAATTCCCTTCCTTCCGAGAGTCGAGCAGACCGCGGCGTTTAGACCGGCAAACGGCTGCTCATCTCTCTGACTCTATCCGCTCGTGTTTCTTCGTTGCTCCATCTCTTTTACTTCTTTCTTTATCATCAGATTTTTTTTCCCCTTAAATTCCTTTTAGCATCTGCAATTATCGAAAGCGATTATTTTGTTATTCGTCATGCTAGTATAATATCGTTGCGTAATATTGTCAGATATTAAATCCATTGATGTGTCAAGAATTATAATCAGAATTAATAGCAATCAATTGTAGAAGATTATAAATATAAAAGATATCAAGACCGCCGAGTTGCATTAAATTACATTTCGTATTGCAGAGAATAGCAAGTTATAGGCTTTTATATTATGTTTTTTTTTTTACAAAGAAATTATCATTAGTATCGAGTATTTTGCGACTAACTTCATCAAAGCAGCCGCCCAGAACATGTATAAAGCGTGTAAGAGCTCAAAGATACATCTCCCCGCCTTCTCGGCTTTAACAGTGGCAAAACACCATAAAGAATCGAATTTACGAGTGCTGACCAGTTTTCTCTCCGTCTCATTCTTATTCACAATGATACACGGTTATCGCCCTCATTGAGCGATTTGGAGAAAACAGCTTTTGCTATACGTGAGAAAGCAGGACTCAAACCCGCGATGCCGGTCAGCTATCAGGGATTACGCGAGTTGCCTTAAAGATAAGCTGTCTACGGTATTTACATTTAATTTGCTCTCATATATTTGCTGGCGTCCCAAGGAGATTGTGGCAAATCTTGATTAATTACTGACATTTCAGGGATTCTAGCGGTTCGTGGTTTGCATATTTAAATAAACTTCAAATGAATGCATATGCGTGTGCGTATATTTATAAAACGATACAATTAATCACAAAATTTGTCCAGAAAAAAGTGAATTTCAAATTGAAATTACTAGGTTCCACACACATACGAGAGTTTTTTTTTAAATTATATTTTAATATATAAAATTATAAATATTAATTAATAGTTTTGTCTGCATATTTTCTGAATTAAAATCGTGGAAAATATCATTAAACAAATTTTAAATTTTACATTACTTTTCTGCAAAATTTATTAAAAGATCAATCTCATATTATTTATAAACCGCAGTGATTCTTTGATTGAATAGATTTAAAAATAAAAAGGAGTCATCAATAAATTTCATACATGATTTTCCCACGTCAGCACTGTTTGATACATCCACAGAACATGTGTATATATGTAATGATCCAAAGGGAAGAAAGAATAAATTTAATTAAAGAAAGAGGCGTTTTGTGAAGTAAGATATGTGTGTTACACACAAACGGGACGTTTTTCTTTCTTTTTTTAACATTTACAAAGAGTTGGCCAACGGAAGTGGCGTGTTAATATGGTCACGAAAGAACGCACGCTACGACATGAAAATACAAGGGAGCGAGATAATGGCGGTTCCCATAAAAAAAAGTTGAAAAGGTAGTCATAAAATATTGTCGTTCAAAATTATGATAATATCATTGTGATAATATCATTAATATCTTAGGCTACTGTATATGTATTCTCCGTTGCCATATGTCTAAATCGAGAAGAAATAGAGTTGTAACTTTGTAATAATATATGGTTACATTTGTGACATGTTTTCGCAAACCGCAGCATCTTCATTGTCATGACGTCATGACGGGCAGTTCATCGAAGTGTAGTTTCACCGTATTGTTCACGTATATGCGAACGTCTCAATTTATTGTATGATAGCGGTTGATACTTAAAAATTCATAGTATCCCTGATGAATATCGCCGATGTACAAGTATATACGCGTCTGAAATTCTGGAAAAAACTTGCGCGGCGCAATAAACCAGTTGCTCTTATCATATGAATTATCTAGCAGTTGATACGCTAGAGTATATACACCGTTGGAGGGAGGTAATCCAGAATTATCAAGTGCATGCGATCCGTCGTTGGGGCATCAACGTTGCGGCGCAATGATGGTCGTAAAAGGACCTAAAAATGCAACAACTCGCTAAACGGCGCGCGGCGATATTCGCGATATGAAAATGGAAGCGGTAATTAAAACGTCGGCGAGGATTGTCGGCTATCTCGGATACTGATTGCTTGCAGCCCGTGATTAGGGTTGTTGAAATGAGAGTCGGTCTTCCCGTCGGACGCTCGTTCTCCGTGAGTCGATCTCCGAACGATGGAATACGATGGGCAACCGTGCACTTGATTCTTTGTTTACACGCCTGTAATATATAATATGTATAATATTTATTTATAAGTGTACGTTTTAATTACCGCGCTTCCATTTTTATATCACGTATATGTATATATATTTTTATGTATATGTACATTATATATATATGTATAAAAAATGTATACATATAAAAATATACATATATGTTTTCCCTTTTTCAATATGAGTGACGGGTGGTGAAAGAGCGCGAAACGCCTCGGATGATATTTTCGTTGATTGTTATCGCCATTTGTGCGACAGGTATGACGTCGCGTTTCAATATCCCCTCTTTTACATCTGAGAAAACAATCACGCAGTATACGCATGCGATGCACCGTATAATTTCTCTTGGTGTTTTTTTTCTATATTGTATCGTGAATCGATTCGGCGAAGTATTCTCGGCAACCCTTGCGTGCAACAAACTCATTAGAGCAATTACATACGTTAATACTCCTTTCTCGGCTCGTCGGCACAAAAAAATCGATCGTCGCCGATTTAATGTCGCATGTGTGAGAAAGTAAGGATTCGTGATCGCTTCTAATAGTTACAGTGAGCGTTCGGCGAATCGTCAGAAGAATTAGTCCCGCTTTGCAGTAAGCAGCATCAATGTAATCAGACAGGTCGCTCAGAGTGGTCTTAACGACGGTCGTAAACGCGGCTCGCTTTACAGCTCGGTGGATATTTTTTTTTCTTTTTCTTCTTTTACGGTGCTTCTCCTCCTACCTCATCATCGTCGTCGTTGCCTTCTTGTTCTCCTTAAAACCCCTTCTCCTACGTTCCCCATTGCCGCAAAGTCGTGAATAAAGCGCACCCCAGTCTTCCGCTTATTTTGCTCTAGGCGCAGTAAACTACCAGAGTTTATGTGACAGAGACGTTAGAGTGAAATCGAAGTATAGTCTCATGCCTCGCGGAATGTCGATGATCTAACTAAAACTCGCGGATCTATTTTCGGTAAATTGTTAATCATAATTGCGGAGTAAAATCGCAGTGTTATTTTTATGGTTGACCACGAATTTGAGTTTGATTGATCGTGTCGCGTGTTACTAATGATTCTTATGTTATTACGTTGCTCTTATTAGTTTTTTACTTTCTCTATTTTCTTATAATTTTTACTCAAATCATATATTCATCATATATTCATCAAGATATCTCATACAATTCTTTCAGATACCCTTCTTATTTCAGGTATCTATTAATTTTAGCTTTTCTCTTTCCCTCTGTTAAAACGATTTGGCGGAAATCTGTGGAAAACTCGCAATTTTTGTCCTGATGCCCGTTGTTAATAAGATGGTAACATTAATTTTTACACGATAAATTTTACGAAAAGCGTAAATCTACCACTCATTATTTAAATCTGCGCGAGCGGAACTTTCATGGCCGCGAGGACAGAGAATCTGCTGGAAACGCGTTAAGAGGAAACGACGCCATGTCATGGTCTGCAAGGCATGTCGCCGCGAATATAAGCATCCACCGTGAGCTATAATTTTGGAGCATATATTACGCTATTCGCGATTCCGAAGGTTAAGAACATGCGCACTAAATAAGCTTGCGTGATAATTTTCACTTAATACGGATATAACGGTCTGCCGAAGTATTATATGAAATACAATATAATGCAGAGTAAGTATAAATGCTAAGCAAGTAAACGTTACGTGCACCATATACTCTTTTACGGTAGAACATCGCATGTATATAAGACGTTGTAAAAGAGTACTGTAATCCTTATAACAGGATTTTCTACAGTGAATATTTTCTTCTTCGTTTATTATTTCTACGTATTACCAAATTTCTATACAAGCTCAATAATAAAATCCCGCATAGTCAAGATTCGTTATTCCGAGTGATCCGTTATTGATATATATATATATATATAAACGTTATCCCATAAATAAATAAATAAATTTATGATTACTTTTGTTGAAAAGTGTCTTTTTTCATAAGTATTACAGTTTCTCTAAACGGCAAGAATATTTTTGCGAAATTAACGAAATTATACTTTTGTTGGCTGCAACCTATCATATATTGTGGCTTCGATATCGCACCTGCTGCAATGCATGTCAGTTATTAATTATAAGTGACATAATTGCTATTACACATTGGCGTGCACAGTACTCTCATTAATGATGCGTCTGTACTGACACCGCCAAAATTATCGATTAACCAACGATCGAATTAGTGAAATTGTTGCGAGACGATATCTTTGACCTTGATGAAACGACTGTCGGCCTTATTTTGTGCAGAGGACGGAGCCGTAATTTCTGAGACAAAGCAATAATTAGTAGCGCCAAAGTGCGTGAGCCGCCGCGAACACCGCTTCTCTTCCTCATCATCGTCCTTCTCGTATGTAACCAAGAACTGGGGAGCGTTAAGTAGTGTAACAGACTCGGCATCGCTGGCAAAAGGAGTTTTACTACTTTCTAACCACAGTCGCGGGCTACAATTA